CGCCCCCCCCCCCCCCCCCCCTCCCTCACCGGTTGACGGGGGGCTTGTCCCCGGACACTATCTTGAACATCGCGCACAGGGGGTTGGGCATGTTCGGCCACGGCATCTTCCCGGTGAGCATCTCGACCACCGTGCAGCCGACGCTCCACACGTCCGCCTGTAGCCACCCCCCCGGGAGCAACTGGTTCTTGATCACCTCGGGGGCCATCCAGTTGGGGGTCCCCTTGAGGCCGCTCACGACGCTGTCCTGGTCCATGGGCTTGCTGGTACCAAAGTCCGCCAGCTTCACGGCGCCCTTCTTGGAGAGGAGAACATTCGCGCCCTGTTTTTTTTTTTTGCATTGCTTCATTTTAGAGGTTAGGAGCGAAAGCCTCTGCAGTCGTCGTTGTGGGCTTTGCAGTCTGTATCAGACGGAACTACCCGCTCTTCAACACAGTCTTTGTTGAGTAACACAGAGAAAAATTAAGCTATGCTATCTACGACCATCAACACCGCCAACAACAACAAAAAAAATTGGACGTGTGAAAACACAAAAGCGCAACAAAAGGCCAAAGGGGAAAGATTGAACCTGTCGTGCTGTGACGTGCAGTGTGGCCGCCACCGCTGCATGTGCATCGCAAGGGAACAAAAGATCAGAGCCGCGAAGGCGACAAGCGATGACTCATACCGAACCCCCACGAAGACAGTCCGTCATCCTACAGCCAGACTTCCCACCTTTTCGTCTTCGAACCTTCAAGATCCGTGTCCTCGTCAAGCCCACGGCCCTATTTCTATGGGCCTTGGCATCTACCCCCACTACCACACGCCGCAAAAGGAGGGAACAACCTGACTCCGAACAACGAAAAATGTCCACCAGTCTCCGTCTAGCCCCCCCCCCCTTCCCCCCCGCCCAACGCCACACTCGCGCGCGCAAGCACACGGCGGCGCGGTCCCCCCCCTCTCACTTTAATGTCACGGTGGGTGATGTTGTTGGAGTGCAGGTAAGCCAGCCCGCACAGAACCTTTCTCGTCACGACCGCCGTCTGGCGCTCGCACATGGGGCCCTCCCGGTCCAGCCGACGCCGCAGGCTGCCCCCGTCCATGTACTCGAGGAAGATGTTGAGGTGGTCGCCCACCTGTGCTCGTCGTTGGGGGGGGCGACGCGACATGATGATGGGGGTGGGTGGTGGGGTCTCAGACTAGCTAGGTCGCGCAAAGAAATGGGAGGTTTTTTGTCAAAGGTGGTAAAGGAAGATTGGCTAGGACCGCGGAGCAGAATTTTTTGGGGGGACTATTTTTGTTTTCCCATTACTTAAATCAGCGCTCACGGCCTTTCTGCCGTGCAGAAGCTCCAATCCGTGGCCACACGGAAGGATTCCTCTCCCTCCACCTCTCCGGCGGTGCTCGCCTTGGACTATTAAACGCGAAGAATACCACAGAGGGAAGCCTGCTGGGTAACTCTGACTTTTAATGCAAATGGGCCCCTGAAAACCTTCAGGAACCAAGGGGGGGGCAGGGGGAGGCAGCCACCACCATCACCGCTGCCACCACAAATTACTCTGCCTCTCCGCCGCCGGCTCTTACGTTGAACGATCGACTGACGATAGATGGTCGCGGGGGGGGGGGGGGGGGGG